TCAGTGTTGTGTTATTTGTTAGAATGTCCTTTCTTTCCATCAGTTCATTGTACATTACTTCCGTTTTTGCTAAATTCATTTTGGGACCTACTTTATTGCTGGCTGTATTTAGTTCTTGTGCTTGTTGTTCTTCAGGACTATTAACAAATAGGACTATGTCATCGGCGAATCTTGGATGGTTAAGATATTCTCCATCTATTTTTAATTCTTTATTGGTCCAGTCCAGTTAACGGAAGACTTCCTCTAGGGTTGCTGTAAACAGCTTTGGGTATATCGCGTCTTCCTGTCGTACTCCTTTGCCAGTGCTCCAATCCAATTCTGATATCATTTGTAACGTATGCAGTACAAATCTTATTACTACCCACAAAGACCAAAGAGTATATTGAACTACTAGACACTTCTAAAATTAGATGTATAGCTGTCGTTCTACCGTGTGTTGCATCGTCGGGACATAGGAAATCCCATGTAAATTTTAATGGGGTCAATTATAGGCTTCCCTAATTATTTTAGAGAATAATTCTATTTAGGTTTATTGAAGAGCACTCAAACCCACATTCAAAAGAATAACTTTAGATATTTTTGATTAGCCCGTTTACGAGTTATCGCCGATTTCTTTTTAAATATTTCTCCTGTATTTACTTATGAGCACCAGTCAAGGTAAAATATAACTGTCAAATGAAGTTGTCATTTCAGAAATTTATCTATTTAGTGCTTTATTATTATTATTAAAAACTCATACCTGCATTGAAAATATTAGCCATGAATTACACTACCGAAGAAAAAGTATTGATGATTAAATGGTATTATCAAGGAAATAGTTATCAAAAGGTGTCGGACATGTATCGGACTGCTCTGTATCCGAATGGACCGATACCTGGAAAATCTACAATCGCAAGGAATATCCAGAGATTTGAGACCAAAGGTACCCTCATAAATAACTGCAGATGTGAAGCACGGCAGGAACAAAGAGAAGATGCAAGAAATGATACCGACTTGGAAGTTTTATTGTGCGTGGAAGAGAACGATGGAAAGATCAGCACAAAGAAACTTGAGGATGAAATAGGAATAGATCACACTACAGCGTTTCGAATTTTGAAACGACATAAATACTATTCCTTCAAATATGAAAAGCACCAAGAGCTACGAGATGGGGACGAAATACGCCGGCGTTTTGTTTTGATATGATGGAAAGAGCAAACACGGATAGGGAATTTAAAAAAAAACATATGTTTCACTGACGAATGCACGTTTACCTTAAATAATGAACCCAATGTTCAAAATTATCGATATTGGAACAAAGAAAACCAACACAGGTTTGTCGAAACAAAAACGCAATATCCACAGAAAGTAAATGTTTGGGCAGGGATATTCGGACACAATATTATCGGGCCATTATTTCTTACGCAAAGTTTAAATGCAGAATATTATTTCGAACTACACGAAAATCATATTTTACCTGCTTTACATGATGCCGCTAGGGAAAATCAGGAAGTTTGGTACCAAATGGATGGGTGCCCGGCACATAGTACCCTGGCTGTTCGGGAATATTTAGACAATAGTTTTAACGGAAACGTTATTGGCCTAAATCATAGAGTAAATTGGCCAGCAAGGTTTCCTGATATTTCACCAAATGATTTCTTTCTCTGGGTTATTGTCTAGCTGTCGATGGAGGAATATTTGAACATCTTCTTAAATTCTAAAGTTCTAACAATTTAATAGTACCTAAATTAATAAGTTATTGAATATTGTAATAATAGTATAATTAACCTTGTAATTGATTACTTTATTTTACTTTAATTCATATTAATTTGTATTTATAAATACATCTTTAAGATTTCCGATGTAGGAATGAGTTTTTAATAATAATAAAGCACTAAATAGGTAAATTTCTGAAATGACAATTTAATTTACAGTTATCTTTTACCTTGACTGGTGCTCATAAGTAAAAACAGGGCCATAAGAAAGGAGAAATATTTAAAAAGAAATCGAGCTAACGTAAACGAGCTAATCAAAAATATCTAAAGTTATTCTTGTGGGTTTTAGTGCTCTTCAATAAACCTAAATAGAATTCTCTAAAATAATTAGGGAAGCCAATAATTGACCCCATTAAAATTTACATGGGGTTTCCTATGTCCCGTCCGACGATGCAACACCCGATATATAGAAAGTATATATTGTAACTTCGTAGTTTAAAACAATACATTTTAAAATTAAAATTGGCAAAAAAAGTCAAATGTATATAGCCAACGATACGCTGCTGACTTTAAAGGCCGTCGAGCTCAATCCGAACAACTACTACGACGCAATAAAAAATACGTGCTGATATCGGCCCTCATATTATTGATTACGGCTCTAACAGCTGCGAGGGCCAAATTTGAATACCCACCCCCTACAGCAGACGCGTTCGGTGTCGTAACGACACTCTAGACCCGGACCCAAGCGAACCCTTCACCCCCTAATAGCGCGCCTCCCGCCGAGATTAAGAATCGCTCGTTCTTGTTTTTTTAATTGCATTGTTCCACTTATTGTTTACCAAGCAAATGTCGTAGGAAGAGCATTATGCGTCAGGGCACATTTCATTGATTGCCAAATGATGTCAATACATAGTTAGTATTAGTACTAAGTTTTTAATTACCGGACTTGATTGAAAATATACATTAACTTATAATTAATTTTTTGAGAAAATGGCATTTTTTATAAACGTTTTTGCTTGACTTAAAATAGTTAGTTCCGTTTATGTCTTTAAAGAATGGAAGAGCATGTGGCCCAGAGGGAGTATATGCGGAACTCATAAAATCTGGAAGCAAAAAACTGTTTAGAATGTTAACAAACATAGTTAACTAGTGCTTAAATGGCCATCCAGTGTCTGAACAGTGGAAAAAAGCATATATCTCCTCTATATATAAAAAGGGCTCAAGGAAGGATCCCAATAACTACAGGGGAATTTCGGTCACCAGCACTATGAGTCGCCTCTATGGAAGGATACTGAGGAACTTAATTGAAGAGGAATACTCCAGCTACGAAGAAGAAGAGCAGAATGGTTTCAGAAGCAGAAGATCATGTACAGATAATATCTTTGCATTGAAACAGATCATCGAAAAGAAATCTGCAATGAATCAGGAAGCTCATATAACATTCATCGATCTACAAAAAGCATATGATACAGAGCCAATAATAAAATTATGAGAAGTATTGCACGTATCAAGAATTAACGCAGCTCTGACAAAAGCTGTACAGAATCTTTACCATGGAGGAAAATCACAAATAAAAACGGTCAACGGTCTCTCAGAGGAAATTTCTATCACTAAAGGGCTCCGACAGGGTTGCTGTATATCCCCAACACTATTTAAAATTTATATTGCCAAGGCCTTACATCTATGGAAAAGAAAATGTAACGGAATGGGTATAGAACTAAATGACATATGCCTATACACCTTGCCATTTGCAGACGACCAGGCCATAATTGCAAACGACAAAGATGACATGGAATATATGGTGCGGAAAATAATTAAAGAATATGCTAAATGGGGTCTCACAGTAAATACAGAAAAAACAAAATACCAAAAAACAAATACCATCCAATTGGAGCTAATGCAGAAAATCTTATTTTAGACAATAATGTGGAAATTAGGGCATGTGAAGATTACAGGTACCTGGGATCGATATTTAGGCACGAAGAGTTATCAGATGCATAAATGGCATTCTATGGAGCACTGAAATTACAAAAAACAGGAAATATAATATATACGAGACACTAGTTAAAAGCATATTACTCTATGGATGTGAAACATGGCGACTCACTGAAAGGAATAAAAGGAAATTAGAGACAACAGAAATGGACGCGATTAGAAGAGCAATGAGAATTTCACGGAGGGATAAGATCAGAAATGAAGACATTAGACAACAGATGGGAATAGAGGGAACAATAGTAAATGATATAGAACAAAAACAATTAATATGGTACGGCCACGTTCAGAGAATGCACAATGAAAGAATTCCAAAACAAGTCATTCATTGGATACCACCTGGTAAACGAAAGAGAGGACGTCCCAAGAAAACATGGATGGAAGGAATAAGAAGGTCGATGAGCGAGAAAAATCTGACCGAAGATCGATGGGAAAATCGCACAGGGTGGAAGTTAGGCATCGGACAACGTCGTAGGACGTTCTGACCCGAATTTATATATATAGTTCCGTTTATACTGGTGCACCAATGAGTCTCTAACATATTCTTTTCTAGGGACTTTGGGACTAGTGAAATAGATTCTTAACAGATTCTTGGTGCCCGGTGGCGTAGAGGTACAGGCTCTCGTCTATCAATCTGAAGGTAGTGGGTTCGAATCCCACACCCGGCATTGCATCAGCCGACTATTAAAATAAAAATAGTTTGGATACCTATGTCGACTCAGCCTTAAATGAGTACTTGGGATTCACAATCCTGAGGTAATAATAGGCGGTTGAAACGTAGTGCTAGCCACATTACCTTCCTTGTATACCGAACGGCTCTACTATGGCAAGCTGTACCTAGCTAGTCCCAAGGCGTTGAACGCTATATACGGGAGCTATTATTATATTATAACAGATACTTGATAACTGCATATAGTGATTGCTTGATGCCATCATTTAACATTACCTAGTGTTATTGCTTCAGAATAATTCGATAGAGAATTTAAATACTGTTCCTTAAGTGCGGTTTTTCTATATACAGAAGTTCTGAACGATGGTCCATTCCATGATTTCTATTGAAGAATCCAGAAACGGTCGACAGAAGTTTTTCTCTTTCTTAATCGTAGATCCGATGGAATTACTTTTTGGATTGATGTGATTGAGAAAGGAACTGTCTATCTCTGTTCCATTCCAGAATATAAAGATATCGCTAATACATTTGTGATTATTAATTGATATCCTAACTATAATGCAAGAATAAAAGTAAAATTATATTTAATTTAAATGTACTTAGCGGGGACTGTTTTTAATAAAAATGTATATTTGTTACAGCAGACGCAGATGGAGCAGAACTATCGGACAGCCACCAAGATATCTTAACTTGCGGCATCTGTCAGAAACATTTCGCTCTGTCCGACATCGTGAGGTTCATCCAGCACAAAATTCAAACGTGCAACAAAGAAAATTTCGGCCAGTGCTACATCAACCCTGAAAGGGAAAGGGACAACGACGACGGATCCCTACCTTTAAGTTCCATCAACAGCAGAAGACCTAGCATATCTGCTCCTATTAGTAGTAAGAAGAATTCCGGAAGTAGAGTGCATACACCTCCACCTGCGAGTCCAAGGTAAGTTATAATATTCCAGTATTAAGCAGAGTTGGGCGTCAACAATACTATGAAGAATGTCTATATCTATGTGGTGGATTCATCTATCCAAAAAATCCTATATGGGTATTTCGCTATTATTATTATTTTTTTTTTATATGTCATTTTAACAGAACGTCAACGGATTTTGTAGACGTATATGTTTTAAAAAACTAAAGTGTTCTTGAATAGTTGCATTTAAACATTTTAAATATATTTTTTCTTTATTCTTTGTATTTTTTTTTTGCTTGCGACAACGGAAAGACTTCACATTCCGAAACGTTAAGCATTTTTTTGTTCGTTAGGCAAATTTATGTATCTGTAAACATGCTGACAAGCAGTTTCCGTTGGGTTAACGCAGCAGTGTTTACAAAAAAATAACTCTTTTATTTTGTAGATTTTCTTGTGGTTCAGTGGCGAAATACCCATATATGATTTTTTTGGAGAGGACAAAACTATGTAAACGACTATGAGGTAAATGTCGAGACTGTCAATAGTCGGACTGTCTATGTCAGTTTGAGGTTAGGTTTGTCGTTAGAAGACGAGTGATTAATTCCCCTAGTTGTTTAATTATTACTCATTTAACTAGATATTTTTGGTTAATTATTTGACTTTAACCTTTGAATAGGAAGACTAAGGAAGGAGCATATCAAAAATCTTAAGTCCACCGCGATGGGCCTCAAATATGGCCGACTTAAATTCCGGTTTATCAGTGCCGTTTTAATTGTATTTAAAAAATGTAAAACTATGATGTAGGGTAGACGTGGGGTAGACTCAATAGTATGTTGTTTTATTTGACGTTGTGAATAAATGTTGGTAGTTATTAAAATTGTTACAAAAATATATAATTCTAATAAAAATAGATAAGTTATAATAATTATTTATTAACACAAACATCCGATACGCTACTGAAGCAGGTAAATCGGGTAAATCAAATTGACGTATCTAAATTCTTTGACATCTAATCTTTGACAAGTAGTAAATAAAAGCAAAAATGCAAGAAAAAATATATAATTAGTTAATTTAAGTGAATTTCATAAATTATCGGTTTACTACACGTATGTATATTATATAGTCACTTACTAGCGAAAAGTTGTTCCATTATTTCACTCGATTTTTGCCGAGATCTACCGCACGTTACACAACCAACTATTTTAGAGTCTTTTTCGATAAATCGCGATAGTGTCACTGTTAATTTAAGTTCTGCCACAATTTCCATCTAGATATACTACCTTTATACAACTATCACTAGTAGAATAAATAATAAATAACATAAAGAAGCTCCGTAAAGACTGACAAATCCCTAAAATTTCAAATCAAATTCAAATGTGTCAAATGTGTCAAACAGAACTGTCAAGGATCCCCACCCTAGAGTGCTTTTTCTGCCCACCATGCATGAATACATGGATATTATTATGCTCCTTCCTTAGTCTTCTTATTCAAAGACTTTAACCATCCTATGAACTTCACAAGCTGTGGTTATTGTTTCCCTTTGTTTAATTTATTGCTCTACATTAGACTACATTAGGTTTATAATTATGAGTTGTTAATAATGTTTGAGTAATACTACTTAATCTCTTGCATTTTTCCTTCCTGTTATAATAAGCACTTGCATTTTTCAGGTATATTTGAAACATTTTGAAAAAAGATGTAAACAAGCTCTTTTTACTTGTCTTAGCGATTATTTACAAACTGGGGACCTCATAAACTGTCATGTGAACATGCTGGTCCACTTATATTTTACTCTCCAAAGTGAGAATACTGAAAGGAATCTATATTCTGATACTTCTGATTTTGATGCAGCATCCAAGTCACACAGCGAAGTAGAATTTAGATCATAGGATGGCAAAAAATCATTTATATCTTATATTTAAGTGAGAGTTTTCAGGCCATATTTTTAATAAACGTTTATTCTCTGGTTTTAAATTTTAATCATATAACATTTTACTTTAATAATAATTATAATTCTTGTACCAAATTAAAGCTGTCTTTGCCCAACTCTGGTATTAAGTTATATTTTATAAGGAAAAATATTATGGATATTTATAGGTTACCAGCTCCAGGAGATTTATGTGTGGATGGAGCGGCGTCGTCGACTCCAAAAAGAAGAGCTTCGTCGCCATTGACCACGTCGACGAGTACCGATGACGGTGAAGATCACAAGCCGATCATCAAGCAGGAGAGGATCGATACCACGACGTCTTCCCCTGAAGAAAACTCGCACAAGAAGTCCAGGACTGAAGTGGCGGATGCTGAAAGCAACACGACACATAGCGGTAAGTAAACAATATAATAATATAAGTAATACTATACAGGGTGGTCCGAACTGTATTCCGGAAACTTCGGCAGCATATTCGGCAGATAAAAATAAGTAAAAAAAGTTCGTATAAAATTCGGAGATACAGGGTGTAGAAGTTTCATTTTTATTTCGATTTTTTCCAAATAATTTGTTAAGTAACGTCAATATTTGAATGAAAATTGGTTTCTGGGAGTTTTTTGACATGAGAAATTTGATTTTGATATCAATATGACTCCCTATTTGTAGGGGGCGCCACATACATGTGTTGGTCGCCACATACAAATTTTCTGTTGAACTTTTGACACAAAATCATTTCAAATTTACGATTTACCAACAGTCATTAATTTACATTATTAAAACAGATTTAATTTATGTCAATGATGACTGGTATTGATAATTTCGATGCCAAATATCTCGAGAACCATTGCTCGTAGCGATTTTTACCAAGATACCTTTTTCACATAAAACCGTCGTAAATGTATATGACTCGGTACTTTTATACAGGTACGGACGAAAAGTTATTACTCTTGAAAACAGTTAAAACACATGTAGGTGGCGCCCTCTATAAGTAAGAGTCTTATTGACATTAAAATCAAATTTCTCATGTCAAAAACTCCCAGACACCAATTTTCATCCGAATATATTAACGTTACTTCAGAAATTATTTGGGAAAAATCGGAATAAAAATGAAACTTCTACACCCTGTAAGCTAAGCACCCCCTAAGCATTTTAGGACATTCATTTATACGAACTTTTTTACCTATTTTTATCTGCAGAATATGCTGCCGAAGTTTCTGGAATACAGTTCGGACCACCCTGTATAATAGTCTAAAATCTGGCTGCAGGATTATTACTCTCATCATATTTTTTATCAAAACCTAATGTTTACGTATTTTTCTGAATAGAGGAATATACTTTTAATAGGGTACCAATCAAGAAGTTGCGGCAACTATGTTTAATTAATAATAATAATAATAACTGATTTTGAAGACGACATTACGTTCATAACATTTTTTGATCATTTATATGCCAAATTAAAGAGAGTTTTATTCTTTGCATAATGTTATAAGGGTACCTATAAAAAAGTTGCCACAAATAACAGGAATCTTGCCACGGTTCAAAGTCGTTCCTAATACTTTATACGGACCCGGCAACAGTGCGTCGAGCATCCTGTAACTCTTATAATAAAAAATAAGAAATTTTAAACAACCTGAATTATGTGGTAGAGGATGTATTTCAGGAAAATATTTTAACTTCTACAGGATAGCTAATAAAAAAGAGTTAGTGGATCGGGATGATTTTTTTTATAAAATTCCATTGTTTAGATGGAAAATTAAAAAATGAACCATTTTTTATATTTAAAGTATTTCTATTTCTTCTTCTGGTTATTATTTAATCTTCTTATACGCTGATATTATATGTCAATACGCTGATGACTGCGCTCTAGTTGCAAAAACATTACAGCAATTACAGGAAATGCTGAACACATATAACTGGACATACAAGACTTTGGGCCTAAGCTGAACATCGATAAAACTAAAAGCATGTGCATCCCCCGGATAATCTTAACAGTGCTATAAAAATCGGAGAAGAACTAAGTAGCGGAATTCAATTACCTCGGCACTTTGATATCGGAAAAGGCCAATATCGACTCTGAAATTCAGCACAGAATTAGCAGTGCCTCAAGAGCATTTTGGAAATTAAAAGACCGGGTTTTCTACAATCATGACTTGAGCACAAAAACGAAACTTGCAGTGTACCGAGCAATACTAATCCCCACCATGTTATATGGAAGCGAAATCTGGGTGCGTTACCGCCTACACACAGGAGCGCATTAAACAAGTTGCAACAGAGACACCTAAGACAACTGTTGCTGCGAGAGCGCTGAAGTCATGATTACTAAATCCCGCTTAAGATGGGCTGGCCACGTATGCATCTTTACGGTGAGCTTGTAAGTGAAAGCTTGAAGAGGAAACCGGGTGGACAACTCAAAAGATACAAAGATATTTTCCATGAAAGCTTAAAGGGGATAAGTATGCAGCATCAGTGGGAGGAAGCAGCGCACAGTAGAACGCAATGGAGGAGAATTGTTAACTCAGTTAACCAACGACAACCAAAAAGTAAAGGGCAACAAAGTAATGAGATTTTTGAATGTCCGGAGTGCGGAAGGGAAATAACATCACGCATCGGGCTTTTCAGTCACAGAAACGCTCATGAAAGAAAACGCCTTACGTAACCATCTTCTGATGCGTGTCAAATACTCGTCAGCCAGTAATGGCAGTAAGTAAGTAATCTTCTTATTCAAAGAAGTAAAAATAAGTAAATTTAAAAATATGTCTCACAGAGAAATACAGGTTATAATAAAACAAAGATTTAAATTGAGATATGACTGCCTCTCTGGATATAGCACAACTGTTTTCAATATTAACTCGTTCCTGTCAAAATCATACTGTATTCCGGATTATATCCGGAATTGGCACAATCCGTTTCCTTTCGCTACTGGTGACAGGGCAGAACGAGTTATAGGATTTTTATTAAAACAAAGACGTCAACCCTTGTCCGATCCATATTTATCGAAAGCCGGTCGGTCGCCAGAGGCGTTCGTGATTGATATATAACCTATCGATGACATTTGCGGTAGAAAATCATAATCGCGTATTGTGTTTCCCGTTTGAAAATTCAATATGAGGGGAATTCGTAACTGAAAATTACATGGGGTTGCTTTTCCCGGCCGAAATAATAATAAGGGGTATTGTAGACACTTGTTACTGATTTTAAATTGTATCGCGTACGAACCCCTGGCTTATGGACAGTAATATTTTCGGTTATCGAAATGCATTAATCTTTTTTTTTTCGTTTTCATTTTTAAGATAATTTTTTTTACTTTAACATTTAACTGCCTCATATTATTTGAACCTTTAACCATGTTAATAACTAACCAACATGTTTTAGTTAGCGTACTAGTTCATAGATAAAAGAAACAAGTTTAGATTGGAAAGTGCCCATAAGGACAATGTAAATACTATTTGGCGCTATTCTTGCAACAACGGTCGCGACCCAAAACTTTTGATAATTTCGGAGCGGTTCTGATTTTTCTGGATTATATCGCCCAATCTTATTTATTCAAATTTATTATTATTTTTTTTTTAATTTTATAAATAAAATACAGTGTGTTGCATACAAGAAACTTTATTTTATACAGGGTGCTTCAAAACAAATGCGAAAAACTTCAGTGGGTGATTCCTTGTTCAAAATAAAGGGTAGTTAGCTTCATAAACGTTGGGTCAAAAGTCAACCATTAGGGAGATATCGCGGTACAAAGATGGCGGAAAAATAATGTTCTTATTTTTTATCTTGAAAACGAAAAGAGATAGACTAATGAAATTTTATGGAAGCATTACTGTTATTAAAACACACTTTCTGGTAATTTTTTCACTTTTTTAAAATGAGTGAAAGGGGTTGAAATAAACTACCCTATCATTCTTGTTAACGAAATTTAAAGAAAAATCTTATCAAACACATGCAAAAAATTAATTTGGATAGTTTAGTTTATTTAGAAACTTTTTTATCTTTGTATTTTTTCTATAAAACTCACCGATTTGAAATTAAAAAATAAAATGTAAAGCATTACATGTCAGGACTAAAAATATTTTTAGATAAGAATCTAGTGATAATAATGATAATAATAATAATCTAGATAATAACGTATTGCAGTAGGGTAATGTCAAATAAAACAATATTAGAAACATCCTAAAAAGTGAGAGCGGCCGACTAGATTTTTTCCTAAAAAAATTACAGCTGCCCACTAGATTCTATATCTAAAAATGTTTTTTGTCCTGACATGTAATGCTTTACATTTTATTTTTTAATTTCCAATCGGTGAGTTTTATCAAAAAAACACAAGAGATAAAAAAGTTTCTAAATAAACTAAACTATTAAAATTATTTTTTTTGCATGTGTTTGGTAAGATTTTTCTTTAAATTTCATTAACAAGAATGATAGGGGTAGTTTATTTCAACCCCTTCCACTCGTTTTAAAAAAGTGAAAAAATTACCAGAAAGTGTGTTTTCATAACAGTAATGCTTCCGTAAAATTTCATTAGTCTATCTCTTTTCGTTTTCAAGATAAAAAATAAAAACATTATTTTTCCGCCATCTTTGTACCGCGATATCTCCCTAATGGTTGACTTTTGACCCAACGTTTATAAAGCAAACTACCCTTTATTTTGAACAAGGAATCACCCCCTGAAGTTTTTCGCATTTGTTTTGAAACACCCTGTAAAACGACATGTATGAAATCTCATTTAGCCTAAACCTGACATAGGACTTAATTTAATTTTAAACCGACTATTTTATTTATTGGTACAGATAGCGTAAACCGAGAAAGAGCAAAGGATAGAAGATAAAAAGCTAAGTAAATTGACGTATCATCGTTCTTAAATTTATTGCCAACCAAACGAGTAAAATCAGAATAGTCTACTAATTTGTTCATTCTTGATTGCTTCATATTTTTTTTATAGTTATGTTTGAGATATTTTTATTAATTAATTTTTTGATAGTCAGGGACAATTTACTTCCGACTTAATTAAAAAATCCCCAATTTTTATACAGTATGCATAAAAACAAGGTGTTTTATACTAGCGACAAATTAAACGAGTGGCTACAGTAAACTTTTTTGTATGTAAATTAAAAAATTCCGATAGTAAAGTGATCTAATCGTAGTTGAAATGTCACGAATGCAAATATTTATAACTGAATGTAATACTGGCGAAATGTGTCAAGGTACATAATCTAACTTGAAGATGAATTTTAATTATAATGATTTTCACACTATAGTAAACATACTTAATACGTTATTTTTACTAAATATTGAAATTTAAGTGTGTATTATATTTAGAATAAAAACTCATAATCAATAAAATTACCATATTTTACACATATCAATTTTCAAACTCTCTCTACTTAGCAATTGAAGATA